TATGAAGAAGATGATACACAAGAAAGTTCAACAAATGATAATGTATCAGATGAAAGTGCTGATAATGGTGAAATTGATCTTGTACATGAATTTGAATTATCACAAAAACAAGAACTAACAAATAATAATAATTTATGGAGTACAAATGATCGTAATATATTTATCTTACAAGAAGATGATCTTTTATCAGCACTTGTTACAACTCAAACACAATCACAACCAATAAATCGACCATTACCACCATCAATTATGAAAATTACAAATAATAAATCATTTGATAGTATTGATGAACAACAAACAACAGCAACAACAACAACAATGGCTTCTCTTAAGCCTAAAGTACGTTTTAACCTTGATCCACAATATGAACGAGAACGTGAATGGAATAAAGTCAATAAATTACTTGGAAATAGTGTTGAATGGACTGATGAATTTGAAGTGTAATATATTTGATGTCTTTAGAATTAAATTAACTAAAAAAAGACATCAGTCAGATTATATGTTTGTTTTTAGAACATATTATATATGTTGTACAGCTTTATCTATTTCTCATTCTCTCCTTTGCCAATTTTTATTTTGCTCTACATAATTAGTTGTTTATTAGAACATTGCCAGATATATAAATGTTTTTTTTTATTTGTTTCAAGAATGATAGAATGTTTGAAATTTTTTGTCCGTTGGTTTAAGTATTGTTTGATCTTTGAGATTAACTAACCAACCAGGTTCAAGACCATAAAATATTTGTCTTGGATCTTTACGTAAACGAAATAGTTGAGATAATTTCGATGGATCTGGTAATTTATAACCATATTTTTGTGCTAAACGTTGACGTTCTTCACGTATTATATCTGGATTTGCTAAATAGCCACGTTGTTTTGGATCTGTATAATATTCAATTGCATTTATTGGTGGTGTTTCACAACGTGGAATTGGTTCACCACGTTCAAAAAATTTTTTTGCATCAATTAATGCTGATAAAGATACTGGATCGAAATATCGTGTTGTTATAACACCACCACATCGTTCAATAGCAGCTATAGCTAATTCACTTGATACCCATTGAATTTCAAGATTAATTGGAGTAGAAAATATATCAGCACCCTAAATGAATAGAAAGAAATAAAATTAATTTCATAGAGAAGAAAAAAAAATTCTAATGTGATAATCAAGCTTTTATATTAAAATAACTCTTCATATGTAAGTATTATTAGACATAATGAAAGAGATTGCTATTTGAATAAGTCTAAGTGTTGATGAATTTACACAGTTATTAATAATCTAATCATACAATGAAATAGACTTTTAATCAAGGTTTATCATCGAAGATGAGTATTCAGGGATGTTCGCTAGGATTGAAGAGACGTGGATGTGTGCGTGTTTTTTGAGAGTGGTGAGACAAAAAAGGATGGAAAAAACGTACGAATTTTTCAAGTTTGGGAAAAATCGTTGCTGTCAGTATGAGTATCAAATGAACATGTCTTTCAAGTAGTCTCTTTTTTTAATGAATGTATAACCAATATTTTGTTCACATTCTCCCTTGCAGAGGGACAATGCAGAGCTCCGGAACAGTGAACACATAATATATGCTAGAATAGTTCCGAATAGAGGTGATATCTATTCAAGATATTTTTGGAATCGAACCGATTCCATTACTGGTGCCGAATTCTTAAAGTGAATTGCCACTGGCGAGATTTAGTGAGAATCATCACTTGCTCAAAAGAATTTTCTTAGTTGTTTTTAGCAAAGAACTAAGCTGATATTATCTCTACTGAACTGAAAAACACGTTTTATGATGATGTTCATCCACCATTTCGACGGAAACACTCCTCCTCCCGCTTCCCGCCTTGAATATTCTAAATCCGCCACTGGGCGTTACTCTTCACGCTGCATAAAACACTATGTGTTATTTTATCTTATTTTTGGTAATATATTTAAAAATAGAATATGAAATATTGTTTAGTTCTTCATTATGTGTTTACTATGAAGATTTTCTAAATTCTAACATATCAAAAACCACATGTTAACATACTTTTTTGTCTTATTTCTGAATGAAATATAACAAATCGATTGTATGAATAAAAAGTCTTTTTTTAGATTTCTATCTATTAAATCAAACAAATAGTTGCGTACTTAGTCATGTGAAAATATAATCTTTCTTTTTTCCTTTATTTAACATATTAGAAATAGAGAAGAGAAAATTCAAAAGATTTTTTTACTTCATCAGTCAATTGTAAACCAAATTGTCTTTGATCAGGTTGAATAGAAAATAATTTTGTATTACAAAGTACAGGTAAATCAATTGGTTTTTCTGGATTAACTCTACGTAGATCGATTAAACGTTGAAGAGTACATAATGATATTGGTAAATATTGTCTTGCTTCTCTGAACATATATATGAACAAATAAAAACAATTTCAAAAGTAAAAATTCATTAAACATACTCTACACCTTCATAATAAGGTTCTTTTGGTACAGTTAATATCCATGGTAAACGTCCTTCAGCTTGAATTGGATCTATACCATATGGTGGTAATGAATTTCTTGCTATGGGACCTTTTTTACTCATTGCTGCTTTAATTGTATTTTCATCGGGCTAAAAATTTCAATGAGTGAAACAAAGAAACATTTTAGATTAGATAAATAATTCAGTTTCTTTTTTTTTTTTTACATGAGCTTTTTTCCATTTTTCTGTTTTTTCCAAAGGCATAGGTAAATTTTTTAAAGTAACTCTTTGCATTTGTCTTAAATATTGAAGACCACGTTCAATAGGCATTTTTGATCTAAAACTATAAACAATTATGGGGTTTTATTTTATGATAGTTAAGATTTAAATATGACAAATGATCACAAAAACTTTAAAAAACAAACAGAAGAAATTTATTTTCAAAGACAAAAAAAACATTATGCATCATTTGATGATTCTGATGATGGACTAAGCGATAGACGATGTTCATCATCACTTTTTTTTTCATTTTCCGAAACTAAAATAATACTATCACCATCCTCTTTATTATCATCATTCGTTCTTTTAGAATTCGTTTCATCAGTAACTGGTGATGTACGAGCTTTTAATTTCTATAAAAGAAAATTTTTTAATTGATTAATTTAAAATTTAAATTTACTTCTGCAGTATCTAATTGCCATGATGGGATTTTAGGAGTTACTTGTGGAATCGATGGGAATTGAGAACGACTTAAATATAGACCTTTTAACGTTTGAATTTCACGTTTGATTTCTTCTAATGGTGATGAAAATGGTAATCCATTGCTAGTTGATAAATTCGTTGCTGAATGAAATTCATTAGCTGCTTGTTCAAGTTTAATAACACTTGCTTGCATATCTTGTACGGTTTTTTGAAGACTTTTAATTGTTTCATCTAATTCATTGGGTTTTATTGATTGTTTCTGTTGTAGAAAGAATATGAAAAGTTACTTTTTATTTTAATAGAAAATCGTCTTTGTTTTTTATCTTACTGATTGAAACCAACGTTTGATAATTTTTAATGCATATCCAAGAATACCAGCTAAGATTAAATCAGACAAAAATCGGCGAAGAAATGATGGTTGAGGATGAGGAACAATTTCTTTAGGCATTTCTATTAATAATAATGAAATTTGAGACTTAATTCATTCAAAATTAGTATCGGACCTTGTTGTTGTGGTATGATTTTGAATGCATAATCAATTTCATTATCAGTAAGTCCTGGAAACAAATAAACAAGTTTATCAATGATTCGATATATTTTGCAAATGAGTGTTACCCTTCTTTTTTAAAAAATCACGTTTTTTATCTATTGATTCACCAGCAACTTTTGGATTTTTTAAAAAACCAATTGCTGTATCAACCTAAAACATGTCAATTGATCAATTATGATAACGATGGGATTAATTGAACAGTAACTCGCCATTTGAGCGTATAAAGACGTCTCGGTATGACCATTTTACTGAATCTTAAGCTTGAAATCCATCGCAAGGATAAATCTAATGACTCTTGAAATATTCTAAAAGTTTCAGTCGAAAAGAATCTTTTTCTCTAAAAAGAACCAGCAAAATGGTCATAACTTGACTCCTGAGATTCGTGGACACGAACACAATTAGGAGTTTTTTAATCTGACCGAGAGTTCCTTATAGGCTCAATAGGAGCTCAAACAGCGAGTGACAGTTCTGGTAGTTCTCTCTAGGTAAAGATAGCTAATTTTGATTGAAATTTCGATTTTAATTATAAATGCGCCGAGTAAGGTTTTCCGTATCCTATATCTTGACTGAGAAATTTTTCTATTAATCATCTCTTGGTCCGAAAATTTTGGATCCGATGAACTCTACCCTGTAGAGTAAAGTGATCTTATACATCTCTAGTTTTAATTAGTTTAAATAGTTTTTCTAATGTATTCAAAATTGCTTCGAACAAAAAACATGGTCTAAGTCTACTTCGAAATCATTCAATATTAACAAACATTAGTATTATTTGTTCTCAATTATAATTCAACTAAAAGTTTTTTCTTCATAGCAAAATTTCTATGACATAACATTATAAAATAATAGGAAAAATAATTACTAATTATATTTGTCGAAATTAATGTTCCCCATTAGGAAGAATCAATATTTTGACGAAATTCGTTATCATCGAAGAAATAAAGACAAATAAGTAGATGAGATTACTAAAAGCTACTATCATTTTCAATAAAACATAGCAGTTTCGTTGTAAATCAACTAAAATCTACCGATGCAGATTGACATTAGTACATCTTAGATTTTTTTACAACAACCATCGTATTTTTAAAGTTTCTTGAAAGATTCTTTAATTACAATTCTGCTATAGACATGGCAATAACTAAATCTATCTTCAAGTAAATTAATTTTTTTTATAGAGAAAACCCCAAAAATTTAATCTCATTTTCTTTTTCATACCAAATCCGATCGAATGTTACTTGATGTTACTGTTTCATCTGTCATTTTAATTTTTTTTATCTGAAATATTTAAAAAAAATGAAAATATATTCATCACAAATTCAAATCATCATCTTCATCTTCATCAATATCATCTTCTTTATCATATGAATAATGTATTGTACAACTATCGCTTGATACTTGCGTTCTTGAAAAAAAAACAGATTGTTAAAGTAGATTTAATTCTATATGGAAATGTTATCTTACTGTTGTTTTGTATATGGTAAAACAAGATTATTTTTTGCAACAAGTTCATCATCTTTAAGACGAAGGTTAAATGTTAGATTAGCCGTAACATCGGACTAAAATTGAATTAAAATTAAATAGAAATAATTCTATAGAATTACTTTAGAAAATCCATCATTATTAGCAGCAGATTTTAATTTTCGATTACTTATTTTTTCTTCATGTAAATTAGTTATATTTAATTGTGTATCAACTGAAAATGTTAAACACTAAGAAATAAAAAAAGAAAACTTGATGAAAAAGAAGGTAAAATGTTATAACAAACAGATTTAATTGTATCAACATTTGTCCGTGATCGTTGTTCAATTCTTGCTTCGATTGTTTCCGATTTTGGAAGATTTTTAATACGTATTGTTATGTATGAAATTGAAACAAGACTTTTAAGAAATGAATTTTCTTCGATACAGTCTAATGGTACCACAGCAATAACAATATTCGATTCTATATAATAAAATAAACATTTATTTATTTTTATTTGCAATTATTTCAATATCTTACTGCTCCAATTATGTAATAAACGTGATAAATCTCCTTGTGATGTTCGTAATAATAACCAAGGAAGAGATTCAATAATAATTAAATTTTTTTCATTGGTTATTTTCAAACATTCTTCTATTGTTTTCGTTGAATGAATATCATCAAACATATCAATAACATGTATTCTATAATATAAAATTTGCTTAAGAATTTCAAAATTATAAATTTACTTTGATGTTAATTCACTACGTTTTGCGAATACATGTGACTGAAACCAATTTGTTTCATCATGTTCAGTTAAAAGTATGTCAACCTTTGAAAATCTAAATAAAATTCACTTGCAATTAAATAAAAAAAATAAACAAAAATCTTACTTATCAACAGTTTCGCAGGCATAAGCACAAGCAAATTGAAAACCTAATGATGAATTCAATGAATTTTCGTCTAAGAAAAATAAAAACAGAATATTTACGAAATGATCTGATTAATAATTTACCCATTACTAAAACCAATGATGGTTTTAATTGATTGTTCAAACGAGATGAAAGCATAATTAATTTTTTTCTTTAATACTGTTACAACTTACGAAAAATTCTTAATATTAATTAATGTATATTTCTATTCGATTATACTTTATCCAATAGAACATAATAACGAGTGCCTCCATTTTGATCGTGTAGATTTGTTTCAAGCATTTATTGTTGAATGAACAAGAAGAAAAAAAAAGGTTTAGAAACAACTATTTGTTTACTCTTCTTTTTTTTTTCATATAACTAATCATACATTGTTTGTTTTGCGTGTTTTTTAAATCGACAAAATGATTATCTGTAATGATTATTTTATTTTTCTTTCTATTTCAGATAAAAAACTTTCAAATGACGAATCGAGGAAAATTTTCAAATACTCGACAAACGAATAATAACAATAATACCAATACTAACAATATCAATAACAAGTAGGTTATTACGCGATAAAATGAAATAAATAACGAATTTTTTTTTTTTTTTTTATAAATTTTTAGAGCACAAAATGATGATGATAATTGTTCGGTCATTTGTTATAAGGATTCTGATGTAAGTAAATTATCTCGATATTGTTTTCAATCATAGATTTAATCGATTGTTTTTATTGTTTATTTTTTAGGATGGTCATGTTGGTGTTGTACGTATACGTCAACAACCAGTATGCTCAGCATGTAATTTAATGCGTGGAACATTGTCACTATATTATAAACATGTATTAGAAAATAATCACCGTGAAAATGTTAAAAAATTATGTGATGAAAATCGTTTTGTACCATCGATTTATGATCAAGCTATTCATTTAGCTTTTCATAATAATGTAAGTTTAATAATAGAATATTTAGACAATCGAACATTTTTCGTATTTTTTAAAAATCATATACAGTTTTAAATTATTCCATTAATTCAGAAAGTTTCTTCTCATTAATCATAAAACAAATCTAATAAAATGCAGATAATATAATATAAATTTATCATAGATTGTTTTTTGTTATTGAGAATGATATTAACAAATATTCATCAACAACGCATGTTGCTTGCCCTTTTCTTTTCCAAAACAAAAGAAAACAAGCTTATATATCTATGCATAGTATACTTGACCTTGACTGAGAAACGAAAACAGACAGATGTACAATCTATTAGACGCGCAAGATTTATAAAAAGAAGATAGTCAACAGATAGATCAAAGAAGATTTCCTACCGCTGTATAAGTACCTAAAACCTTATGTGTACTTGTAAGATATGGACCGAACAGAAATCATCAGTATAATGTACGATATATTGGCAATAGTTTGAGTTTTACATAGTTCCCTATCCTCTGATCGCCATTCTATCGGGAGTATGACAACATGAGTAATTTATTCATAGTGTTTTCTCTTTAGTTCTAATATTAAATTGAATCAAAACTGCTTTATTTTGTTTAGTTTTGTTATCAAAGTGACAAATTTCATTTTCTTTACAAACATACAAATGAAGAACCTGACTTATCATCACAACAACCTGAAACAGAAAAAACTGAAATTAATAACAATCAACAAAAAGCAACCTCAACAAATACACGTAAAAGACGAAATTTACAAGTTACACTTGTCTTTCAAGATAAAACTTATTCGAAAATTGGTACAACTACAACTCAAATTCGTGAACAACTTCTTAAAGAGATGATTACTGATCGTGCGAATGATATAGCAGCATTACCTATGGAAATCTATTATATTAAGAGTAAGCGTCTGTAATAAAGAATATTCTCTTTGCCAAAAACGAATAAGTATCATAGTTGTTTTATATCGAGACATGCTTTTTGTTTTGATACATTCATGAACAATTTCATTGTTCAAATGAAAAGAGACTTACATATTGAGTTTATTCTTCTTTCTTATTATTTTTTCTTCACAACTGTTACAATATATATTCCGTGTGTATATATTTAATTTTATAGAAAAAATTGCGCCTGATAACATTCATCACAATGCTCAAAAGAGCTCTGTTATTTTTACTATGGCCAAAGATCAGTCACAGGTCATGATAAAGAAGCAGCAGCAAGAAGAACCGTTTGAAAACGGTAATATGTCTTCTGCTAAGGATAGCAATGAAGACAACGGTGTGGAACAGAATACTGCTATTACCACACATGAGATATTGAAAACAGAAAAAATTGATGTTGATGAACCACCGTCGTTTGTCGATGACGTTATAAATGTTTGCAAGGTAATTATGCGAAATTTCATTTTCGTTTTAAATTCATATTCGAATTAAGATATATGAGAATAAAAGAATACTTGAAATGTATTATTGAAAGAACATAGTACTTTTTTTTCTATCTTAAATTTTTATATCTCATTTGACTAATATTTAGAAAGAAAAAAAAAAGTTTCTTCTTTTTGCTTTTAGGATGTGTTAAATAATATTGTTATTGATATTTATTCGAAATGTGGTGAATTAAAACGTGAACAACAATTTCTATCTGGTATTGCACGACGAAGTTTTAAGAAAAAGAATACATTCTTCTGTGATATATGCTCAATTTTTTTAACATCAGAAAAATATTGTGTACAAGTAAATATAAAACAAAAAAATATATATATATCTATAATAATTGAAATATTTTCTAGCATCTCAATGGATTAGATCACTTAGAACAATTTCGTCATTATCAAACTAGTTTTTTGCCATGGCGTCGAGCTATGCAAGAAGTTTGTTTTGTTGAAATGTTTTTTTTTTCTTTGTTTTAATAATTTGTTATTTTTAGTCATTAATTAATGGTAAATCAATGAAGGAAATAATGGGTACAAATATTTATGATGATTATAAAGCAACCATGGCACTTTATCTTGCACCAAATAGTCTTGCAAATCGTGGACGTTTTTGTTGTGCTTATTGTGAATTAGTTTTTACAGACCAATGGGCATTAGAAAAAGTAATTTTTTTTTTTCTTTTTTTAGTAAAACGAAAAAGATAATTTATTTTAGCATTTACATACTATTGAACACAAAGATAAACAAACATCGTCGAATCATAAAGATCTTGTTGTTGTATGAACTTTATGCTTTATTTATAAATTCATCTCTTGTTTTTTTTTATTTAGCGTTTTGCTAATGTTGTTATACTTCCTTCTATATTTAAATTTAATGGTATAACGCAATTGTCAGAAATTCCTGATGATATTAAAAGTCGTTATCAATGGCGTTGTGCAACACGTGAACAACTTGATGACGATACAACATCATTTTTACGAAATTATCCATTTGATTCATTTGAAGGTGCCACTCGTATTGTAAATGCTAAATCAGCACGAAAATCAAAATCATCTACTAACAAAACTACAACACAAAATCATCGAAATAATAATGTTACAGCAAGAAATCAACAAAAAAAACGTGGTGGATTTAATAACACACGAGGAGGACAATTCCACACACCAGCTGCTCATCGAGGTATAACTTTATTAAAAAAAGAATAAGACTAAATCTGCCATCCTAAATCAGTTTTTGGAAATGTTACTGTCTACTTTCTTGTCAATAAGGTTGCACCGCTGTCAACCAATGTATCAGCTGACATCTCAACATGCAATCTATTTTGTTTTATAATATTCATTTTTTAGGAGCTGCTGCTAAAAGATCTTTTCCTGCTACGGGCCCACCAAATAAGCGATTTCGTGCCGATCTTAATAATTCATTTCCAGGTGCAAATCGTGGTCCTGGACCGATGAGAAATTATGAAATGGATCAATATAGTTATGGACGATCAGCACCATATAATAATGGAAATGATCGTTGGCCATCATCTCGCCGTCCAGTTGTTCAACAACGTGAAGAGTTTTTTGAACGATCAAATTTTGAATTACAATCACTTGCCTCAGATAATAATGGATATTATGGTGGTGGTGCTGGTGGTGGTAGACCAGCACACCTTATGTCTAGAGGAAATAATTATGTTGATGAACAACAATCACGCTTTGATGGCCGTGGGGGAGGATATGATAATCAACAATCAAACTATGATCCAAATTTTATACGTGCTGTTGCAAAGGTTTTTTCATTCACTATTATTTAAATTAATTAAGATGATTTGATAAAGAAACTGTATTATTATTTTTCTTTCATTTTTAGGCTGTTGCTGAATACCATCCACAACCAAATGCACCTCCATTCGGAGGTTCATCTCATCGTTCTCATAATCGAGCTCATACAGGTCCAACAAACGAGTTTATTCATCATGTTGCTAATAATCTTCAACGTTCTCAACATCAACAATCAACAGCACCAATTATGAGTCAATCACATTATCAAAATCAAAATTCATTGGGTGCGTTTGGAGTTAATAATAATAGTAATAATACAAATCCATCTTATTTTTTATCTGCTGGCAATCAACAACAAAATCAAATGGGAACAAATGCTCCACCTATACGTTCCTATGCTGATTACCGAGCATCATCTGGTCCGTCGACTGGGAATGCTTCTTCAACAATGTATCCACCATTCACCAATACACAAAATCCAGTAGCTCCACAATCACATACATTCGATGAATATGGGCAAACGTCATTAGGACATAGTTCATCGAATACTTATGGACGATCCGGAGGACCATCATTTGGTAATGAAGAACCACGTTATGGAAATTTTGGACATCACAACCAAATGGAACAATCAGCTCAAGCACCATGGCGAGGATCATCAAGAGGTGGAAATAATAATCGTGGTCGTGGCCATGGTGCAAGTCATTTCCAATCCATGAATAAGCAACCTGGTTCAACATTTTCGTATAGCAGTAGTAATAATAACAATAACAATAATTCATCCATTCGAGGACGAGGTGCCAATCGAAATGTCCGAAATTTCGGTAACCGACGTTAATTAACATTATAAGACTAATCGAAAAAAAAAAACATATCGATTCTTTTTGTGGATCATTTAAAATTCTATCGTTATTATTGCTATTGACATTCTTGTGCATTTTATTATAGTAAAGTGTTGCTTGTATGTCTGAGAGAGTATGTTTCTTGCAACTTCTTATATTTCTTCAAA